ATTAACATATTAACATTAACATTTTATCTAGTTTTCTTATTTTTACCTAATTTGGACGCCTGCAGGAAATATTAAATTTAAAATGAGCTGCAGCTGCCTGTACCAACTGGTTCGGTGTTTATCACCTCAGAACATCTTTCTCAGCAAGCTTTTCATGTACCAAGGAAGAGAGAGAGGCAGAAACATGCATAAGGGAGTTCTCATCGCAAATCTGCCATTACAATTTCCTAAATTCTCTGAGGACAAAAGTTTCTTTCATAGTTTGTCAAATTCTGTGTTAGTGACTGTTTAATATCAAGTAAATGTAATTACATTTTTGAAATTTTTGAGAACTCTTTAACAAGTTATTTTAATCAAGAATAAATGTTGGGCAGTATTACTTCTGCATTGTTAGATTTTTGCATGAAATTCAACTGAGGTGCTGCTTTCCTATTATTACTGTCCAAATCGTTTTTCAAACTGGATTTGGAAACTGAGAAAAAAAGACTTTACATTATTGTAAATTGTATGTTTTATTGTGGCGTTTGCTGAAATGAAGTGATAGTAGCCTAGATACAATAATATAGATTACATTTTATTTTCCTACCACATTATAATTGTGAGCAAAGGGATTGATCATTTTGATAAATGCTGGCTTAGTTTTTTTTTTTCCAATGAACTGTGATGTGGAATTTTAAAAATTATTTCTGGGATCATGCATCCTCTGTGTGGAACTTTTGTCCCTTCTTTAAGCAGTTCCTTCATTTATTCACAGTCCTTGTCACAGACTTGTAAGTGTTTTCAATACTGAGTGGTGACACCACAACCACCTTTTTGGCATTTTTTGGGTAATCTGTTGTGTTGGTCAGGATAGTGGGATGATAAATAGGAAACTTGAAGTAAAGTAGGAAAGGTTACAGCACCTGTACCATGAAATGTATTGATGTTTGATGCACTTAAATGATACAAAAAACATTTATCCACTCTTCTGACAATATAATGGAATTAAGTCAGATGTTCTTCTTTTTTTCTGAAAATGGATAATGTCTATGTTGGTAGATTCAATGATACTGTAAGTTCTGCAATTGTGGAATCTTGGGAACTTTATGGGAAAACGCATTCCGTAATCCCTCAAAGATCATTGGACTCTTAAGAGATCATCTTGCAAAAAAAACATCCACAGATCCACAGATTTCATAGGATGTCCATAATCCTGCAACTTTCTTTTCTGGGAGAAGTCTGAAAACATGAGACCTAAGAGGCTGGTCCCTAGACTAGGAAAGAGCGAGGGAATCTTCTTGTGGATTCTAAAACCCCGCTTCCCTGCTCGCATCTTACATCTCAGCAGCTCTTTCTCGGGGCCCAGGCCTTCCAGTTGATGAAACATTTACCAACATGCGGAAAGTGACAGTGAGTGGACGGAGATGTTGAATACAATAGCTAGTTTACTCTGTGGCAAATCTCCCATCGTGGTGCATTCTGCAGGGGTAATGCGGTAGAATGCAGGCCCAGTGGCTCGAGGGATGCCCGCTTTGATCACCCTCGCCCTCCGCATCAGCCTGGCGTTGCGTTTTAAACCAACACGACGTGCAAGTCAGCAAGCACTACTGTTTAAAAGCACGGAATGTTATTAAGTGCAGATACACTGCGCTGAATGAGAGAATAGAATACTGTTCATTTCAGAGTGTGGAGCTGTTGTGTTTGGGCATTAGCTTGGCATTCTTGGAATGCAAATACAGGGTTCCTCTCTCCTCCTCAGTGAGGCTACAATTATTTCTTTTATTTAGGATATTATGTTCGACTTGCTGCCTCTTTCAAAAATCTAGATTTTTTTTTATTTTGGCATGTTTCATGACCTTTGTGCCATGAAAGTAGAACCAACTTATTTTATTAACTATCTTGGAATTTGTATTTTTGCTCATGGTTGCTCAGTGAGTGAAGACAGTTACTAGATGTTAATATACCATTACAAAATGACGACGATTCATGTATGATTTTATTTAATTTTTAAGTATTTATTTTCCAACTTGGCTTGGCTTTTTAAAACCAAAACCTTTTTTCAAGCTGCTGTGTTAATCAGTCCTGTCAGGGTGGTACCTACGAAGGTACAGAACAAAATGCCGGGGCTGTGCAGGAAATTTAAATCGAAGGTCTGTCTTTTAAAATTGAGAAGAAATCTGTAATGTGCTCACACTGGAATTGCTGACAGAGAGTAACTGCATGGTGCTATGAGGAGGAAGAGGAGGAGCAGGCTGCTCACAAGGATTACAGCTTCTGTTTCGCCGTTTCCATGAAGGAAGTGTTGGTGGCTTGTTGTCCCTTAACCTTCCTAGTCTGTTCACGCAGGTGTGTCTCCGTGTGTCGCCTGAAGAGCCAGTACCTCCCGACTCAACTTGCACTGGCCTTCAGCTGCACTTGGATCAAACCCCTCTGTTGGAGATGATTGCACTAGAGCAGGGCATGGCATCTTTTCAGAAGGGACGTGCCAAGAGTTGCCCGACGCACTTGTTTTTACAGATTTGTGTGCCATTTTAGTTTTTTTTAAATGTCAATAATAGCCCTACTTACGTTTTGATTAATACATATTTAATAATAAAATATCTAAAATGAATTCATTCATATGCATGTCTTACCATTTATAATTAAGTCTGCTTAGAAATCTGGGTATTAAAGCTGTCTGTTTTAATCTGGGGAAAGAAAAGCATCAGGCTAAAAACGACTGAAATCTGGAAAAAAAAACCTGATGCCAGTTCTTGCATGTACACTCCAAAATCAGAAACACGGATTGTGCAATGTTCTGAAACTTGTTTAAGGCGTTGGAAATAACGGAACGTTGAGGTGCCAATTTTCCCTCTAGAAAAATTGGCACGTTTTGCAAGTAATGCCTTCCTCATTTCGAAAAGACCCAGAACAGTTTGATCTCCACCCTGCTAATGGAAGTTAAGTTAATTCATATGTGTGGTGGTGTCAGCTAGAAAAATAACTTTTGCAACCCATTTTCATTGTGCAGTAAGTGGTACAACACAGAGCATAAACAGCATGGTCTTTGTTGCACAAATCCATCTCTTCAAAAGGGCTGAAATGAGAGAACAGTAACTTTACTTTCTTAGCAACTGATAATTTTTCCATTATATTTGATTTTACGTTTAAGCATAAAAAAACGTTATCAGCAGCATGGATTGTGAGCTTTCCATGTGAATGCTACTGGTTAGCCCTGTTAAAATCAGGCAGTAAGCAAACCGGGTGAATTTCCTTTTATCTATGCCAAAGAACTTTGATTGGGTAGCATGCTGTAGAGAATCACAGAAGAGTCCAGTGTAATTTTTTAGTGTTTTTTTAACTTCTTTTCTTCATGGCTTGTTAGACGTTTATAACATGTGCCGCTTTCTATGCGTGTGTCGTTAAAAATCCTTTTGAGGGCCAACGAGGGCATGTGTGTGATAGCTTGCCGACCCCTGCTCTAGAGATTCGTTTGTGGTCTCGCACGGTAAGAAAATTGTTCTTTTCAAAAACATAGGGTAACTGGACTCCAACTTGCCAAAAAGCTGCGGCGGCCTTTTAGGAGGTCATTTTTTTTTAGAGAGTTTAAAAAGCAAACAAGAATTATCGGGCTTGTTTCTTCTCCATAGGAGGCTCCATAGCCGAAACGTTGCATTTTCTTTCCTCTCTTTTCAGCATGGAATAAACCTATTACTTGTTCCTTTACAGTATATAGCTATACCTAATTTTTAATAGTGTTACAATCTTAATTTAAAATTAATTTATGCCCTATATCATATTGATGAGTCAGTCTTCAATAAGACAGGTTCCGTTCATTTAAGGGTGCAAGTCCATAGCTGGTCCATGCTGTTTTATGCAATTGCTTCTCTTTGTGTTAAGCCCCATTCATAAAGCTTTCAGTGATCTGTGCATGGTTTATTATTGGCTGTGTAGTGCCTTTTCTTGACTTTACAAAGATTTCAAGATGTTCAAGTGATTGCTAAAGTGTTTCTGCATTTTCTATTAATGGTCATTAATTCACATTAAACATTTCTTTGCAAGTGGGCTCAGAAATCTACCTTGATCTGTGGTGATGCCTAGTTATGTAAGTTGAATAACAAGAAGTATATTGTTGGGGAAGAAATAGCACAAACAATGGTCATAACCCTTTAACTGATTTGAAGGATGTCCACCCAGTTTCTTTAGTTGTCTGTCCATGAACTTATGCAATGTATTAATCTTATTATGACTTATTATTATACAGTAAGATTTCAACATTCATGATATTGCGAAATGCCAAATTCACATATAACCAAGTCCACCCACACACTGTTGCATAATGCACTACATTCTAGTATGTATATAGTATACAATATATTGACAAATATGGTTAAAATACATATGTAACCCTACCTTATATAATAATTAAAGTACTTATGCATTGGCTTTAAATTAAATAGCATTGATCAACTAAAAGAAATCACAAAAATCACAGACTTTGATAGTAATCAGTATTCGTGATGAGCCCCACTATAATGAAACGGACAATAAAACTGTCAGTAAGACTGTGAAATGTCTGCAGCCTGTCATTCCCAACACAGCTGACATAGAACCTGGCGTGTTCCTTACAGTATAGAAACAAGACCGTGTTGAGATGTGGATGCTGTGTAGTGGGTCCTTGGGCAGGGTGCAGGTAGAGGCTCACTCACTGTTAGATTGGTCTTGTGATTCTGGTATGTTACACCTCTAGCTTGAAAGTTTCAGTTTATGACCTTCAGCTTGGTTTCATCACGCAATACTCGTTTCATCCGAGACCCTGTCAGCCAGACCGAATCGCGAATGTGTGTTAAATTTACAGGTGTCGACACCCTGCTGTAGATGTTTGGTTTTTTTCTTAACATGTTTTTCTTGTCTCTCGTCACTTTGGACAAGAATTTGTATACGTGAATAAAGTGAGTCATATAAACGTGCTGTTGCCGTTTCCCTTCTGCACTTTGTGTGGACCTCTTTGAGGGCTCATACCTTTCTTTCCCTTTTTCCAGGTAAAAAGAAACATCTACGACTTGACCAACATCCCTGTCCGACACCAGCAATGGGAAGGCTGGCCCACCACTGCCACAGACGACTCGGTGAGTGGTTTGCTGGAAATCTCCCTCGGAGCTCCTGCAGATTGCATGCAGTCAAATATACTGAGCATTGAACATTATTTATATACAGTATGATGTGGGTTTTAGGTATTGATTAATTAGGAATTAAGGAAGCAGTATTCCTCTATTCAAGAATTGAGTACTTTGGTCCCATTGGTACAGTTGCCTTGCAATTTATTTGTTTCTTGGCAATAATATGTAGTTTTCTTGAATTATAAGGAGTTTTTCATTCAAAACTACAGTGATCAAGCTAAACGTTTATATGTGAGAGACATTGAATGTTGGTAAAACATTCAAAGATGAAATGCATACATATTGAGCCCTCCAGGTCAGTACTTTTTGGAAGAATGTTATCTTCTAGAATGCATTTCCCAACACTGGTGATGAAAAGCATCCCCATAAAATAATGGTGCTACCACCATGCTTGACAGTACGTAAATAGACAGTGAACAGTCTTGAGCACATAGTCTATATAGAACATATGTATTTTTAAAAAACTTTCATTTTTACCTATTATATTAAAATTTTAAAGTGTGTTTTGAAAGTGTCGACTTTCAATCTTGTAGGGGGTGGATACTTTTGCAAGATATAATGACATAATTTAGCTAATATGTAAGGTGGAAAAGATGTTTAGGACATTTAAATATGAACCCATTTAAACACTACAAATCTCTCTCCTCGAACTGCTTTGAACTGAACCCTACAGAATAAGTCTGCTCTGTAGTGTCTGTGTATCTTTACCGCTTGAGCAAAACTGTGGAACAATCACCAACTTCCAAGCAGGTAACCACATCATTTTAATAGGAATTTGCATGCATAGCTGAGTACAGACAAGTTTTGAGCTGTTTGTAAACTGGGCTTCAACTCCATCTTGGTGTTGAGTTATATACCTGAAAAGAAGGATGATTTTCAAACATAATCTGATTTCAGTGGAGAGAAGCCACATCCTTAGCCGACTCAGATGCCCTGTGTGATGTGTAACCTCTTTGGAGCACGAGGAAGTTGTTTATTTTAAAACCTTTAGGCAGACGTTCTTATGTTGCTTTCATGTGTTATACCTTTTAGTAAAGGCTATTTTATTTCAGAACTGCACCTCTGTCACTAACGGGCCAGTTTTTCACTCATAATGGATGTCAAGATCCTTTTCTTCCTTCGACAAAAAGAATAATACTCAAATCTAACAGTCCCAGTTGCAGCAGAGCCCATTTTTGGTACGTGACGTTTTTATGCAGGTTTTTGAATCTTCACGTTTTTGAGCCTTGTGTGCAGACAGCTGAGCAGGCATGGTCCTGAAAACGTTGCATGCTTTAACATGGGATATCTCTAAGGAGTGTGAGTTTATTTTGATTTAAAGTGAAATAGTCCTTAAATCACAGAATTTTAAACCTTGAGTAGAATGTATACTCTCTCTTCACTGACAGTAGAAAAGATGGAAATGGAAAAGGAGTTTTATGTTTCAACTTCAGTGTTCTGGTTTTTGGTTTGCTTTGTAAAGGATGTTCCTCCTTGGTCAGTAACTGTAACTTATGAAGACAAAAACCTAGAGATTAGGCCCGGGGAATTCAGTGGACATCTTCAGCGTAACATATGGTTCTTTGTTTCCTCTAGCCATATACTAGTGGCTATAGGAAATATTGAACTGTTCTATTCATATCAATGTATTAAAAAAGCCACCAGCGTTTCTGTTACATCTCCACTGATACAGCTATATATTGATGTTGCTGGGCTTGTTTTCAGCTGAAACATTATTCTCTTGCTACATTTCCACTAGTGTGTATTTTCATGCTATGTTATTCAAAGCACAGTGTGATAAAAGCTTTTCTGGATGTCAGTGTGAAAATTATATGATATAATGGTGTGCATAACTAAAACCCACAACGCATGTAGCAATAACTGTGGTAACCACTTAATCAGGCTTTTTTGTTTTGCTAATACTGAATGAGTGAAAAGTTTACATTCTCTTAAATAGTTTCTGTGTAATGGCAGCAATGCAAATCTTAGGCAGCTACAGTATGAGCAGAGTAGTGTTTAGCATTGAGGAGGAAGTCTGAAGTGCATGGAAATAGCCCTTTCCCTCCAAATGGAAGTACTGCATGTCAATTCCATCCTTCTCTTCAGAAGGATATGAGCCAGTAGAACAGAACAGTCTTTAATCATGCAGACATCCAACAGATTTGCAGAATGAGATGAATAATTCTACATGGTGTATTTTGGCTTATAAAGATTTTTATTAATGCAGTCCATCAGAGAGCATCTTTTGAATTGTCATTGTTAATGGTTCTAAGCTGCTTTCACTTGATATTCCAAGAAACTTTTAGAACGGAAACCTTTTGTTGGAAATAGTGGCAGAGAATCAATATGTTCTTGTCTCTGGTCTCTAGCTTTGCGACCATCTGCTAAATATATGCATTGCAGTTCTGCACCTTGATATGCCCAGAAGAGTCCAGTGTTTCAGTTCTTCAAAAAGCTTAGGAATGTATTGGATTTTCTTATTAACCGATTTGTGATATACTGTATGTTCAAGAATATACAAAATCCCACCAACAGAATCCAATTTGCATCTGTATGTGAAATATGGACAACCTCCTAGCCCATACAAAACCTTTCTCTTGACCAGTCCAGAGCAAATGTCATAGTATCTAAGGCTGTGTTAGTTATAATTTTAACATTTTCATATATCCCAGTCACTTTGCTGTAATAATGAAAAAAAAAATTGTTGTGATTAGTAGGTAGTGATCATTTAAGTACCTTTGAATATCTGTTGTAGTCCAGAGTAAGGAAGAGAGTCATTTGTTCTGATTATAAATTGAAGCATAGAGATCTGTAAGTGCTATGAGCCTAACCTTACTAGTAGCAAAGTGCCTGTGGAGCAGTGCTCATATATGGAAGATAACTTGCGTCAGTCTTGGAAATGAAAATGAGGTTTGAAAGGCATTAAAACAACTGGAATCTAATTTGTTATGCCAGCTCGTATTCTTTTTTTGTTATGGTCAGTGTTAGGGATGAGTTTTCCAGACTTGCTGACTTTGCTCATCTTTGCTTCTAAGCTACAGTGCACTGAAGTACGGTGCTACGAGATGGTGCATTGTGATGACCTGTGAGTCAAAGACAACTCTTTAATGTACTTTCAGTTTGTTGGTTTCTCAATTAGTGGAGTCTGGAGACCACTATTTTCTTACCAAGGTTGAAATGTAACGGTCTGCCCAGGGAAATCGGAGGAGCTTTTCATCTCCAGAATACCCCTGCTCTGGGATTCAGAGTGAGATGTCAAAGAGCCTGCTTTTGTGGACAAAAAAGATCCCATGGCAGAGACGCTGACCCTAGTGCCCTGGCCAGATTCCACCACACTGCAGCGGAGCTCTGGGACAATCTCTCCAGAACCTCACAATTATACTCCTTCTCTGTGTGCCCTGTGGAGCTCTAGGACTGCATTCTCCACATTACTCCTTTATTTGCTTGCAACCTAATTTGATTGATAATTATGCATCCTGGAAGGGGTGCTTTCATGCGTTAAGTCAATGGGCCTTCTCTGTTGCTCAAGGCTACATTTTTATAAGCTCAACATGTTTCTTAGACCATTTTAAAGACTGTAGTTGAGAGGTTAAGTTAATCTCTTTGGAACAAAGTTCGCAGGCCTTTCTAAACCTGATCTTCGGTTAGAGGTGACGGCAATCTTGATGTCAAGTGCTGTTTGGTTTCTTGACGGTAATTGCTGATATACTGCCTAAACGACTGCTATACAAGGGTACTTGGTTATTCTACAGGCATGTCTGATCATCATTATCATGCAAAAAGCTCTCATTTTGTAACTCTAAAATAATTGGAATGGTATTGTCCTATAATCCTTACACAAGTACAATTTTGGAAATGACCTCTTTAAAGAAAATCTTGTGCTCTCAATTGCTTGCAGATTAACACAGAACAGACAACGAGGCATCCAAACAGTCCTCACATTAAAAAAAAACAAAACAAAACTACTGTTTACTGATTTTTCAATGACGTAAATGTATCACTGTGGGCTATAGTTTACAGTGGTTATAGTGATACTGGATATTTTATAGTTATACAGAACATTTTTGTCATGTCTTTCTTTGTACTTGTTGCTTTTTGCTGGAAGAAAACAAAACACAAGCCCTACGGTGTTGAGATAAAAGGTCATGCTTCTTTTGCATACAATAGGCTTTTTTGGAAGGGAAATGTAGCAAGTAATTTTACACTTTCTATGTAAGTGACTCATTCCATACTGGTTACTAATTGAGAAAAGTTAAATTTACATTCGTGACAGTATAAAACTGAACAAAGCCAGCAAAATAATCAGCAAAGATTGTGCAGTATTTAGTACAACATTGTTTATTGGGCTTTCTCTTAACTTTATTATTTATTGGAAGAATTCTGTGACATGACATGAGCATCAAAAGATACTTAACACTTTGTTTTTTGTATGTGTGTTTTTAGATAATTAAAGTATCTGTATTTTTCAAACTGATGAAAAACAGTTATTAAAACAATTATGATTAAAAAACAGTTGGTTGAACACGGATAGCAACGCGATTTAACCTGCTGCATGTCAAACCTAGTGGAAATAAAGAGTAAACCAGGAAGAAATCATGGGTCTCGGTGATCAAGATGACCCCACCTCAGCGCCATAGGAAAGTTGGAGGCTAGGTTTTCTGCCCTTACACGGGCTCATCCCAATGTGACAGCATTTCAGCAAGCACATGCATCTCCTCAGCCTGCTCTTCTAACAACAGTTTTCTTGCAGCATGAGAATGTGACATGATAACTTGAGCCCCAGAGAACATTTTTGGATGCGCTGAAGCAATGTGACAATGTGACGTCTATGAACTACTGAACAGACACGGGCCTGTCCAGAGTTCACGAGAGCAGTGGGACAGAAATACAAAACTCAACTTCTGTAAACTGGTTCAAAACATGCGCAACAGATTTTATTGCTCCCAGTGAGAACTGTACATATTGCTAGT